GGCATGTTTCGATACTCTGTAGAACCAAAGCATTTCGGTCAGTACCATAAAAGAACCGATTTTCGGTATCCAGCCCTACTCTTCAAACAGCTGAATCTCCATCTAGTCCAGAAAAGGCCCAGATGCAATTCTAGCCCATCTATCCGAGCACTGTCCTACCTTCCATCAGAGGAAAACCATTCTGTTGGATTGCATGAAAAACAAACTGATTCAGAAATAAGTTGTGACGGAAATCATTGATCCGTAGTCTAACAGTAAACAGCCCATCTGAAAATCCAAGAAAGCTCCAACCCATCTCATTTAGTGAAGGAGTCACCAACTCAGACGTCAAAACAGCTGGTTTAATTATCTAAAAAATATTCTTTACGGAACCTTTTGATATCAGATTATTAATCAACTAATGAAAAAAATCCACAGATTAATCGATTAGCGAAATAATCGTTATCTGCATCCCTAATCAGGATACAATACTAATGCGACACCATGGTATTGATACTAGAGACAAATGATGGCTTCATGTTTTTGCTAGATCAGTTTTAGATTCCTCATTGATTTGCAAACGTAAAAAAAAAAAAACAATGTTATATATTTTTTATCAAAATATTTGTTTATGCCTTAGTCATTTTTATCCCCATTGTTGATATTGAACACCTCCTGAGGATGTAATCCAGACCATTTATTCAGGTCTGTTTCAGAAGGGGTTACATTTCAAAGTTACAGGAAAGTGTAGCTGACACTTACTAAAAAATGTTTACAGAGCATTCCTGTTTTTCACTCCTAAATAGTGATAAATACCTGCCTTATATCATTTCAGCTGCTTCTACTGTTCCGAAGTTTTGTTTCTGTCAGTTTAGGACCTGTGAAGGATCTGACATTGGAAAAATATGACCCACTAATCATTTGTTTACTAGGAGGCATATGGAAGGAGACAGACGTCAAGACCAATATACAGGAGATTAGAGCAACTTTCTGACAAAAAGAAAGCCCAGATGAACACAGTGCCTACAGAAACCAGGAGCAAATCTGCGACTATAACCCCTTTTGGTGCTGGAATTACTGAGGTAATGTAGAAAACACAAAACAAAAGAACATTTGCACAGGTGCCAAATAAGCATTTAGTTTGCAAAATGAATCAACACTCAGTCTCAAAGCTCCCCCTGAAAGCCTTTCCATCAGCTCATCCCTCTCTGCTTCCAATGTCATCAAGAATTTCTTAAGTGATGACCTGAAAACTACTCAGTAATGCAATCATGCCTGAGAACAAGTAATTGAAAGCACTCACAAAGACGGCCATTCACCTCTTAGTGCCATGTTAAATGAAGGGTTGACTGGAGGATGGTGAGAGTTACGCAGTGCCCGGTCCAGAGCCTTGTTTAGACCACCAGGAACTCAGTGTGAACACATTCACTCCGAGATATCCCATTCCTCAAATTAATCGGTAGACGGCCAGCAGAGCTGCATGGCTCAGTGGGTCAATGACAATAACAAGTGGGAACACTGGGATTTCCCTTACCATCACATTGCGTTTATTATGTTTGTGAGCAGCGTGCTCAGTCTGCCTTCATCGGACCGTGACTCTATGAAAGCGTAGTGTAACTGTGAGGCAGTACACGGCTGCCATCAATCAAAGGTCATTTCTT